AGTAAACAGGTTCCCCTGCAGTTTAGTGCGAAGGAGTAAGTTTTAATGTTTTTCCTCAGTTTAAAGCTTAAGCCCCCTACCATAGAGTAGAGGAGTTAAAGAGCCTCCCGGCCCCCCTCTTGGTGAGACACCCTCTCCCACCTCTGACTACCTGACCTGCACGCGTGCGGGGAAGGTCAACAGAGGGGGGGGGAGGGATACTCAGCCTGAGGGGTAAGACCGCGGAGCTGCAATGGCCTCCCGGTGGCGGAAAACCGGGGCCAGGGCCAGGCCTGAACACTACGAAGGCCTGGCTTCTGGAGTGGTAGTGGAGGCCGTCATGTATGACGACAAGTGCAGGCCCCAAGGACATGCGCTCCTGATCCTAGCTGCGAAGGAGATTGATGAAGCAGAAGAAGAGGGACAAGTGTGGGGGTGCCACTTCCTAAGCATCCAGGACGACTACTACACCTGGTGGCATCAAAATGAACACGGTCCCCTGAAAGAGGGGAGACTGCATCGGATACATCTTTGCGGACGCCCTTGCAAGACTTGCGGGGTCGAGACTCCGTTCCGCCAGGTGACACACATTGATGTGTATCGGATGCTTGAAGGGGATGGCCATGAACGGTTGAGCTGGTTGACACCTGAGGGGAAAGCAACTATGCATGAGATCCTGGAGGGACATACGCTAAGGAAGGGAGACTCCAAGAAGGATCACAAAAGCGAAGCCCGGCCCTGTGGTTCAGATGGAGTTGGGCTCACCCCTGTACTTCCTGGAGCGGAAGGCCTCACTGGACTTGCAGCGGCGTTGTCGGGAGGAGGAAAGGCGCCTGACGCAGAGTCTCCAGCGTCACCTCGGGAGAGCATTTCCGGGGGGCAGGGGAGGCAAAGCGTCGGCGTGCCAAGGAGAAAGGAGAAGAGTCGAGTTCGACCTACAGGGAGGAGTTGGACAAACGTGAGGGAGTGAAGAGCCGAGACAGTGCCCTTCGATTGAACAAGAAAAGGAGGAAGAAGAGGGGCAAGAAGGAAGGCAAAGGATCGAAGAGTAGCTCAAGTTCTTCTTCAGGCGAGGAGGTTTTTCGCGTAGCCTCTCTCCCGGAGGGGGTCGACCGTTTACGTCAAATCCATCAGGAGCAGCCAGGCCACCTGGCCAATTTGACATTGTTGAAGTATCAAGAACTTCTGGAGCGGTCGGCCGGGAGAGAGGCGGGAACAAAACATCACGAGATGTTCCCCCCATGTGCGAGGGCTTACCTCCATCAGTGGTTGGTTCCCCGGCGAAGTTCGTCACACTTTGGCATAAGAACTATGAAGGAGATGGAGACCATCATGACAGTCGTGGACCTCTTGGCAAGCAACGACATTCTGCGGGGACTCGACGTCTTGATTCAGCGGCAGAAGGCTATAGAGCTCGCAGCCGATCAGGGCAGCTGGGCACAGGCCCAATACCTCGAACTGACCCACGCGGACGAGGAGCACAGCTATTTCCGCCAAGAGCTAAAAGCTGTGCAGGCCGAGCGGAAAGCAGACCTGAAACTGCAGCAGATGGCCTGGGCCCCTCGGGGTTGGAAAGGAGAATGGAAGGGAGGCAAAGGTCAGCCAAAAGGAGACGGCGGCGGAGACGCAGTGGTGACCGATGGGACAGCCCCCTTGAACGACGTGGGAGATCCCGCAAAAGGGAAAGGCCGCGGGAAGAAAGGCCGGGGGAAATGGAAGAAGTGAAGCAAGATCAGAGGTTGCTTCCAGAGGTGCTCACCCCATTGGTGAACGAGATCATGGAAGGTGCAAGTGCTGACAGAAAGGATGTCAGGTCGCAAAGGGTGAAGGCCATCTTGGAGAGCAACTGCGGCAAAGAGCCGCTGGAGATTGCAAACATCCTGACACGGAAGTACCATGAGCTTTACAGTGAGAGTGCCCCTGATGAGATGGTTTGTGCCCCCGAAGGCTGTAGGAGTGATCACCATGTAGAGGGGCCGGAGGCCGGCCGTCATCACGGGGTGATCATTCGTTGGGTGTCGGGGGAGTGGCTGCAATGGCGCAGTGATGGAGGCATCTATGTGGGCGATGGATCCAAAAGGTTGACCGCAAGCCCGTTGGGGCAGGCAAATCGTGACCGACTGGACACCAGAGTGGCACGACGACTCTTAGAAGGTCGTCCACTCTACATTGATGAGGGTGACAGCTTGGAGATGGCTCAGAGCACGGTGGACTATTTCGGTCTGAGAGGCGGAACAGGGCAAGGACCACGGCATGGAGGGAGAGAATATTATCAGCAGGTTGAGGCGTTCCTGGAGGGAGCTATGACTACTCTTCAACTGGGGATCGTGCTCAAGGAGATGGTGAGAGTGCGACCCTCACTCCTTGGGACAGCAGTGATCCTGATGGAGCTGTGCGCAGTGGGGCCCTTGGGTAGTTCACAGCCCTTCCAGGAAGTGCTGCCATTGCCTTTGCCTGATGACACGGAGGCCGAGATTGAAGTTCGCCGGGTGCTTGAGAAGGTCAGATTGGGACAGCCGGAGGCTGGGAGCAAGGAATCCTTGGACAACTGGGTCCCAGTCGCGGGTGTGGATGCATGGGTTTGGCTCCAAGTAGTGCTGCTCAACTACATGTACATCGGGAAGGACAGGCTGCTGACGCAGACTTTGTTCCACTCCAAAACATTGCTTGAGTGCCAAGTTCCCGTGATGGAGAAGTTGAAGTGGAATGCGAGAACCTTTGGCAACTCAGGGGAATCTGTGAGGATAGGGCCTTGGCATGATGTGAGCGAACAACTTGGGGAGCTCTACACAGGGAAGGAGTGGCGGAAGTGCTACCCGCTGACGCTGAGAGCCATTGAGCCTTCAATCCCCAAAGCTGGGGAGGCTGCTCGTGTCGAGTTGGCGTCAGTGCTCCCGGAGCGCATCCGTGAGTACGCTGTCAACCCGGCGCTGGTGAGGCTGGATGACGATGAGGTGATCAATCCACGATACACTGCACCGGTTCATGTTGAAAGTCCTGCTGAATGGGACAAGATCGTGAAGTCCCTTGTGGTGGCCGGCATGTTTGAGGCAGAAGTCGAGGAGGAGACGGTGCGCCACAAGGGGAAGCCGGTGCTGAATGGAGCCTTTGGTGTCCACAAAGCATGGAAGCAAGAAGCTTCAGGGGAGTGGACAAGGTGCCTGCGATTGATCATAAATCTGATCCCGTCGAATGGTTTGCAAGGAAGATTCCCGGAGCGAGCCTCAACCCAGATGTCCTATGGGCCGCTCTTTGGACAGATGATTGTCCAAGAAGGGGAGGTGTCGCTGTTCTTTGCCGAGGACCAGAAGCATTGCTTCCACATTTATCGTCCTGGCTATGCCTGGCGTGGGTACTTCACCTTGAGCCGAAAGGCATCAGCCGAGGCATTTGGGCGATCAGGACCACCGCTGAGACCTCGAGTCTGTTCAGCTCCAATGGGATGGAAGAACATTGTTAACCTGATACAGGTTGTGCATGAGGAGATGGGAGCGGTAGCTGGAGTGCCCCCAAGTCACCTCCTCAGGCTCGGCCATCCGTTACCACATGGAGACCTGCTGACCCCAAGACAGTGGTTCAGCTTCTATGTGGACAACTTTGATCAAGTGATGGTTGTGAACGAGTCGGAGGTGGGCCGATATGAGGGAAAAGCTTCTGAAGTGCAGCTGCAGCTGAGGCAAGTCTATCATGAACACACGGTGGGCCGTGATCCGAAGAAAGCCGCAGAGGGCGTGCGGTCATGGCAGACCTTGGGCGCAGAGATGCTTGAGAACCACGTGGGATCCAACCTTGGGTTCCGGCGTGCCCTGATGGGAGCCACCCTGCATTTGATTCGAACCGAGGGAAGCATGAAGGTGAGCTTGAATGAGTTCATGACAACAGTCTCAAAGCATATGCATTCGTGCCAATACAACCGGACTACTGCTTGCCTGCTTGACCAGGTATACAAGTTCATCCACAATTATGGCAAGGGAGTGATTCCACATCAGGTGATTGATGAACTCTGGCTGCTGACCATGGCGCTCCCGATGCACTGGATGAACACCCAGTGTCAATTGGATGGACGAGTGTGGGCCACAGATGCCTCAGAGGAAGGTGGTGGAGCGTGCCATTCGGTGGGGCTATCCAAAGTGGGGGATGTACGCGCGCATCTTCTCGCACTGGATAGCCACTGCCAGGGCGGAGCTTTAGCAGATGAGATCCTGGTTGTTGAATTGTTCGGAGGGGCCAGAGGGCTCTCGAAGGCTTTGCAATTGCTAGGGGTGGTCCCCATGGGACTCATTTTTGTCGACCACAACCCGAAGGCCAGAAAACTTCAGAAAGGGCATCACCCACACAGTATGTTCTACAGCGACATCAAAGAGATCACCCGGGAGGATGTACTGAGGTGGAAAAGGACTTTCTGCCGAGCTCGACGGGTCCTAGTCTGCGGGGGCTGGCCATGCGTTGAGCAAAGCCGCTTGAAGAGCCAGCGCGAAGGTGCAGACAGCGAAATGGGGAGGCTGCTTGATGACATGCTGCAGATTGCGGGATGGCTGAAAGAAGCAGGTGAGCTCCCAAATGAACGGCCATGGAGTGTGATTGAACTATACGAGAACGTTTTCTTCGATGCCGCTGACGCGCGGATTGTCGGAGCGAAGATGCAAATGAGGCCTTTGAAGACGTGGGCGCATGAAGTTGGGTGGACGCGTCGTCCGAGGCAATTCTGGCTAAGAGGCTTGGCACTGATATCAGGGAAAGACCTCACCATAGAAGAAAAGAACGTTGGTGAGGAGGATGCCCATGCAGAAGTGCACTTTGAAGCATGTTGGCCTGCCCTTTGGAAATTCGTGGAGCCTGCCACCGCACGGCTTTGCGACACCGATGACCCCTTCCCATGTTTCACTCGGCCGATCAAACGGGAGCAGCCTCCACCGTCGCCTGCAGGCCTTGAACAGGCTTCTGAAAAAGCCCTTCGTCGGTGGAAAGGCGATGCGTACCGACTTCCTCCCTATGCATATGAAGATGCATGCCTTGTAAAGGACAAAGGTGGTCCTCGTCGGCTAAAGGCCATGGAGCAGGCGAGGATGCTGGGATACAACTCAGGGCACTTTCGGAACATGAAGCCAAAGCCCACTGAGGATGAAGTGGGTGGCTTCACAGGAAACAGTTTCCCTGTCATTGTGGTGGGCCGCTTGTTAATGGGATTGATCACACCATCCCCTCCTGACCAGCAGCAAAACTACGTGGAGCTCCTTTGGAAGGCATGGGATGCACACGAGGAGGTGGCACTGCAAAGCCAGAAAGCCACTGGGTGGACCGAACGCTTTGGAGCAACTGCTGGGACCTGGGAAGGGGCCAAAACCGTGCGAGATCTAATTGGGCAAAAGCAGCAACTACCTCGTCAGGAAGACCGCCAAGGGAGCAGGCTGACAAATGAACAGTTTTTTGATCCTGCAATACTGCCGGATCATCGATCACAGAGGGTCGGATGTGCGATTCGAAGCTGGCCTCCCATATGCGCCGCATCTTTTTGCGCGCAGGCCCGTTGATCCTTCAGCTTGGATTTGGAAGGTCTTCCTGAGCTATAAGTGGAAGGAAACTGGACACATAAATGCCCTAGAGCTTGCAGCCGTCCTCGACTTGTGCCGAAAGCTGGCCCGAAAGAAGGAGGACCATGACAAACGGCGGTTGCTGCTAGTGGATAACCAGTCAGTGCTCTCAATCATCGCGCGAGGTCGAACTTCGAGTGCTCGAATGCAGGGACCTTTGACGCGACTCGCCGCCGTGCTGCTTGCCACTGGAATGACCTTGGTGTTGGGCTGGGTCCAATCCGCGCTGAATCCAGCGGATGGCCCAAGCCGGTGGCGCGGCAGAGCTTAGAGACCAATGCCGGACTTGCGACAAAAGGCGTCGCAGGCAGCAAGAAAGGCGAGGAGAGCCAGATTGGGAAAGTTGGCTGAACAGGTGGTTGCCCCAAAGACTTTAGCACGGTACAGGTTGCATGTTTATAAATTCATAGACTTTTTGATCGCGTTGGGTGTGAGTTATCCTTCGGGATTTATTGAATTAGACAACTTGGTATGCAGGTATGTTGAATCATTGTGGGAGTCCGGCGACCCCAAAGGATGGGCCTCAGATTGCCTGTCAGGACTTGGACATTTCATCCCACCTTGTAAACCATGGCTGGTGGGTGCATGGCGTTTGCACGCCGCGTGGGGCCAAGCGGAGCTGCCGTTACGTGCGGCTCCATTCACACCCCTGCTGGTGTACTCCTTGGCTGAACTGGCGCATCGGCGTCATTGGAATGACACTGCTGTGTTGTTGATTGTCGGTTTTTGCATGTTCCCACGGTCTGCTGAGCTCTTCTCCGCTTTGAAAGGTGACTTTGTGTTTGACCATAGATCTGCAGTGTGGAGCCTGCCTTTAACTAAGTCAGGCCAGCGCACGGGCGCGAAAGAGTCCTTGGTCGTTCGTGACCGCTGGGTTGTCTCCCTTTTGCGATCATACCTTGAGCATTTGTCGCCTGGAGATAAGCTCACTAGAGTGTCTGGCCAGACTCAACGGAACCGTTTGAAAGTCCTCACAGAGGATGCCAATCTGGCTGGGAATTTTCAGTGGTACTCTTGCCGAAGGGGCGGGGCCACGCACATGTTTCGGATGACCGGCAACCTGTCCCAAGTGTGCCATGTTGGTCGCTGGAATAGCCCTAAGACGGCCCGCATATACATCTCAGACGCTGTCGCAGCATTGGCTGAGATAGACCTTGAGACCTCGCATAGGCGTAGGCTCACATTGTTGGCGGCTCATGCACGTCCAGACTGGGACACAATCTAAGCGCTGTAAAAGAGGGCTGTCCTGAAACAATTTGTGATCCCCCTCTTCCTTGGGGGGTCCCCCTTGCACGTGCCTCTTTCTCAGGTGGACAACCTCATGGGTTGTAAAAGGGGTACGGTGGATACCGGTATTTGGTTGCATCTGGACCTGTTATTGAACGGGCCAGGGGTGTTTCTGCTATTGAGTGGATTCGCTAGCAACCCGAGAGGTACAATTGTTTCAAGTCTGCTTGTGGTGGTTTCGTCAGGTTCTCTGCTGCTCTGGCCTCATCCTGTTGTGGGGCTGGGTTCTGTGGGACCTGACTTTGATTAGCTGAAAGGCTAATTCCTTTGTGATGAATCTCCCCCATTGCGCAGCTGGAAAAACGAAACTCGTGAGCACTA